TCGAACATGTAAAACTATTTATCAATATTTTTAATTTAGTATTTATCTCCACTTTTGACAAAAATTCACCCACTCTGTAAGTATATAAATGTCAATTATTGTCAAACATTTTCAACAGTTTTTAGTATTATAGTGTTTGTGCGCTTAAAACTCGAAAAACATAATAAATTATTGTTGAGATTCAAATAAATTGTGCTTTCAGTGTCAAAGTACACAGCATACGTTGATCTCTAAATAGTATTTAATATACGAGAAACAAAAGCGAACTAAAAATTTATTGTTAGAAATAAAAGTGTGTTTCTCAGAATCTATACTTGTTATGAAGTTTTTAAAACTTAATGTTCAAGACTAATCATTAACCATTGTTTCTTTTTATCGACAGATATCGATATCAATGTTGTAAAACTATCTTAAATCATCTTATTCTTCTCAGTTCACGAAAACTCAGTCACATTCTTCAACTTTTCACCGTTCTGTCAAAGGTTTTTTCACATTTACAAAGTTTATGTTTTCTTAATTAACATTAGTAGGAAAGCTTTATTAAGTGGGACACGAAATGCAATTTAATAATCGAGGATAGAAAAGAAACATTGCAGCTTATAAGTTTTTGTCTAGCTTTGATAACTATCCAAAATATCAAGAGGTAGCTACTCGAAAATAGCACCTAAAGAAAAAGTCCAAATCTAGTTGTATCAAGTCGTGTTTTAATTTAAGCAAAAATATCTCTAACACTTGATTACAGGCCAATAAAATTAACCAAAAACCGTAAAATAGTATAGGACCATTCAATTAAGATTTCTTACAGAACTTGTTCAAATAATTTTATGCATGGTTCCAAAAAGTTTGCTCGTTGGGTTTAAAATTCTTTTAAGTAATTCGAAAAAAAATGTACAAATATTTATTTTTTGTTAAAATCCTTTTATAAAATTGAATTAGACTGCGCTCTTAAATTATATCATTCGCACTTCACCTGGTATCGAACACATAAAATATCCTATGTTTATCAACCTATCAAATATAGCTTAAAAATGCCATAGTTTTTTCTATCATTAAGTTCGAAAAAGATATGAACATTATAAATTCGAATAGACCCATGCTCTCTTGTGTATTTAAAAGTATAGAGGAACCCATAAAATTTAGACTAAATTTGTAAATAGAGTAAAAGAATTTACTCCCAGAAAACCAGTTTGCACTATAGCACTAGATGATTTAGCAAATATTGTACTAGTTACGCAGAATAACTTAAGCAGAAATAACTATTTAGTAGCAGTATTATTGAATATAATAAAATACGGGGGAAGGAAACTAAGGAAAAATACTGGCACTATTGAAAAATATATGGAAATAAGAGAAAATGCCAGGGGACTGGGAGGTAGGGCAGATCATAACAGTACATAAAATAAAAAGGGAGACCAACAAATCTGTGAAAATTATAGAGGAATCACATTACTAAATACAACATATAAAATATTGATATCAATAATAAAAAAGAGGTTATCAAAGATCACAAAGAAGACAGTATGACAGTACCAATGTGGATTTACAGAAGGAAGATCTACAATAGATGCAATACACACAATAAAACAAATAATGGAAAAAGCAAACGAGTATAAATTAGAATTGGAAATGTTTTTCATAGACTTCAAACATGCATTTGTTTCAATTAAAAGGAACGTATTAATGATAGCACTTAACAAATTAAAAATTCCACATAAACTCAGAAAATTAATAGAAAAGACAATGAGAACTATAAAAATAAGCATAAAGACACAAAGAGGAGAGACAGAGGAATTCAGTATAAATAAAGGGATGAAACAAGGAGATGACTTATCAACAACGCTATTTAATCTAGCATTAGAATATGTACTGCGAAATATAAATAAAGGAAATCTCAGAACAAGAGGTGGTCAAATAATTGCATATGCAGACGATATTGCTAGTATTGCAAAGAACAGAAAAATAATGAAAGAAATGCTTGAAGAAATAAAAGAGAAAGTGGAGGTAATGGGGCTAAGATTAAATCAAGAAAAGACAAAAAGATTAGAGAAAAAACCAATGAAAGAAAAAATCAAAATAGGAAGTTCTGAGTTTGAAGAAGTAGAATACTTCAAATACCTAGGAGTTACAATAAGTAAATCCGGAGAAAGAAAATCCGAAATAAAAGAAAAAATATTAGCAGCGAATAAAGCTTATTTCGCAAACAAAAGATTACTTAAAAGCAGAACACTGACTAAAAAAAGTAAGATGAGCATTTATAACACCATAATTAGACCAATATTATTATATGCAGGAGAAACAATGACGATGGTTAACAAAGATAAAGAAGACTTAAGAATAGCAGAGAGAAAGATTATGAAAACCATACTAGGACCAATCAGAACAGAGCAAAATTAATATAGAAGCAGAACAAATGCAGAAATTAAGGAAGAACTTAAGGAAGACATCGTAACTAAAATAAAGCAATGCAGAGTTAGATGGTTAGGTTACGGTTGGCGAGCAGGCGATAAGGCAGTGACATACGCAATGATATAATGGAATCCAGGAGGAAGAAAGTGAAGGGGAAGACCGAGATCAAAGTGGCTGCAAGAAGTTAAAGAAGACCTCCAAAGGGCAGGAGTCAGAGAATGAAGAACTAGAAACAGGAAAAAATGGAGAGATATTGTCAAGAAGATAAGATAAACAAAAAAGACTGATCTACTTAAGAAATAGGATCTAGAAAGCATTTTCTGTTTAACCCCACACTGGGGTGTATAGCCATTATATATATTATTGAATATATGAATCAGCCTGCTTGTCAACCTTAAAATAAAAAATGGTTAATTTATTACAGATGCCAATTGCATTCGTCAACACTGATCATTGACATGTATGCAGAGAGGATCTACGTCAAAAATCATAATAACAATCTAATATAAGCTTCATAGGTTTAGTTGTATCTCCATTCTTATTGAATCTTGTTGAGTTCTATTTTTAAAACCGTACAGTATGCCGATGAATTTCTCTATCAATATTTTTGTGTATGCTTTTTGATACAGATGTATTTGTCTTTAAAAGGAACAACATTCCCACAAACCAAAACGTAGTTCTAAATAATTATTGTGTTTAATTTTAAAATCACATTATTAATTTTCTCTTAATCTGAAAGAAAAATGTAATTGGGAAGCATACGGATTAGCAACTAGCATATGTGTTAAATACAACAAAGGAAGTTTTTTTTTCAAAATGACCAATAAAGTATGGTGCAATTGCAATGTTGAAACGTTGATCTTTGTTTTCTTATTATACGATCTATCCTAGATGATGGTGCTATTATTTATGCTTCCGCTTCCAAAAATTAAGAAAAAACACCCTCATTATTTTAAACCGAAAATAATTATCTAGTATTTACTATCTATTTTCACTTTGCAAAGGCATTAATATCAAGCAAAAGAAAATTTTTAGATATAAAACTCAACTTATAGATAGAAAATATTAAAATTAGACTTCAAGATCAAACAGACCCCGTTAAGAACGTTTTTGCTCCGAGTGTCCTGAATATGATACAGTGATCATCCCTATTGTCCTGATGAAGTAGTCCTAAACAAAACCTTGGGATTAACCTACACACCAGTACCTCCTAAACATAGCATGCTGTAACCACAGAAAACATGTTATTGAGAATATTCTCACATTCACCGAAAATTTTTATTGTTATAGATAGATAGATAGATCTTTATTTAAATAGAAACCCTAATATACATACAATATAGAGAAAGTACACTATAAATTTTTGATATATTGTTTAAGTAACAGTTTAAAATTATTGAGACTAGTACATTTTTTTACAGATGTTGGTAACTGATTAAATTTAACGAAGCTTTTAAAAAAGAGCGAATTCATCGTACTTTTATACATAGTTCTATAATAGGTACAAATATGTCATCTAAACCTCGGGTATTATAACAATAAATATTTTTTTTCAAGAAATAAATTCTTGAAAATATCCAGATGATAAGCCATTTACTATTTTGAAGACCAAAATCATGGTGGAATAAAACAGTCCATTTTCAACAGAGAACCAATTTAGAGTATTTAACATCGTCCCAATTGGGGTAAGGCGATTTGTTTTAAGAATTATTCTCATTCCACGGTTCTGTAATTTTTGTAGCATATTAAGCTTTTTAAGGATAAATAAATATAAAATTGATGAGCAATAGTCAAAATGAGGTTGAATAATTGTGTTATATACTGTTATTTTTGTTTCCATTGATAAATTTTGAGATACTCTACTCAGAACGTAAAATTTTTTGATATTTTTTTAAGAACGTACTCGAAGTGACTCTCAAAATTTAGAATATTGTCAAGCTGGAATCCCAAATATTTACCTGTGGTGACAATTTTAATTTTTTTATTATTAATATTTAAATTTATGATTTCAGAATCAAGCAAGCTATATTTATGTTTGGTAGTGAAAATCATTGAAAACTATTACGTAAATAAACAAAGCCTTGCCAGATTAATCGGTTAAAAGCTACAAGTTATCTAATTATTTATTTATAATAATACTTAGTAATACAAATGACGAAAAATAGTTTAAATAAAAGCCGTACAAAAGCAGTTTTCGTAAATTATTCAAAAGTAGCATTCATTAAATTAAATTTAATGTAATTTTGTTCTAATTTGTTCAATTTACTACTACTAAGATTGAGACCTGCCAAATTTGCTAACGAATTTTTAATTATTCTGAGCTCCTCAGCTATTTCTTAGAATTATCCGCTTAAACTGCGTTAAGGATGGAACAGCATAAATATGTTCAATAGTGCACATAGTTGTTATTAATAAATATATGATGGAAACATTATTCAACCGCAGAGAAATTTTAAAGATATTAAATTTCACCAATAGTAAAGAGTATAAAAAGGAGTGTCGCTAATTTGTACGCATAACTGTGGGCTTTGTGTAGCTCCTCTTATTTCACTCAACAATATAATTAATTAACATGTTTTTCTTTTTTGTTTCAGTGCCTCCCCGGATACACTACGTTACTTCTAACGGTCGCGTCGAAGTGAAAAAAGGCTCGTCGGTGAAACTGGAGTGCAAAGCTTCGGGAAATCCGCCGCCCAAAGTGACATGGTCGCGAAAAAACAACCTTTTACCGGACGGTGTTCAAACTGCCGTGACCCCCGTGTTGAGTCTTGACAGGGTCGACCGTCATCAGGCTGGTGTATATCAGTGCACGGCAAATAATGGAGTTGGCGAAGATGTTTCCGAACAGATTGTGCTGCATGTATTATGTAAGTTTAACTTAATTCTTTTTATACACTATTTTTAATAAGTATATTACCTTGCAGACTCACTAAAAATTCATACATCTTTAAAAATTGTATTTGTCACAGTTTATCCAATAAAAAATTTCGACTTACATGAAGATAAGGAATTAATACAAATAAAAATATTAGATTTAGATTCATGAACATCGCATCGTTGATAAATCTAGTGTTACTAAAAATTTATGAAATAAAATAATACAAATTAAGAAGTCAGAAAAATAGATAAAAATCATATCGACCTGCAAACTGAAAAAGTTTGTTATATTATTTCTTTCTTTCTAGATTCCTCCAGATATTCCAGTTAAAAAATAGCGCCCAGCAATTTTTCGATTTTTCAAGTGATCTTTCGGCTTCGTTTCATGGAATAAAAAGTAAGCAGCACATTGGGACGCAGGTGAAACAGGTGACGCAGTGCAGAGCAGGCTACACAGGTCAGAAAATATACGTGTCACGCAGTGTGAGCGCATATTTGGAAGCAGTCTTCTCGAAAATTTTGAGGTGCGAATATCGAATATATTATATGAACATAGAAAGAGAATTTTATAATTTAAATAATGGCATTATTTCTGGACAGTTGCGAATCAGAGTCAGACACAGAATTTGGAGAAACAGGTTTATTATTCAACATGTCAAAGAGAAAAAAATTATTTTGGAAAAGCAACTATATAAAAAAGAGAAATACTCATGGGGAATTTGCACTATCATCAGTTTGCAATTATTTTCGGTTAAGAAAACAAGTTGCTGAAGTACATAATATAATAGAAAACAGTATTTATTCAGATGGTTGTAATGCCCAAAAACCTATAGGAACCAAAGAAAAACTAGCTGTTTTTTAAGGTATTATTTTTATTAATTTTGTTTTATAAAAAATTACAAAAATATCATTTTAAACAATCATAATTCTATACTCTATAATTTTCCACAAAATTACGAACATTACCGATATCAACGGTTTGAGGAGATGTCTCAGCAGACAACCTGGGGGTGAGTGTAATAGATGAATAATTACTGGTGCTTCTAAAGTTGTAATCATTTGAGCATAAAAAACAGTTGTTGGGAATAGAAACTAGAGGATTATTACAATGTTAATTCTCAGTATGTTGGCTACTGTGACTGAAACTTGGTGATGGAAGAGGTGTTGACGAGTAATAGGGCTACTGAATATGGGTATTAACATATGCACTTGTAAAAACCCTTTGTTCACTATGAGTGTAGTTTTCTTGACTGGGTGCATGAATTTCTAGATATGCAGCTTCGAGCTGCAATATAGCTTGGAACACATCATTTTTTGCACGATGGTGAAATTTAGGAGGCATTTTTTTAGTTATTTTGTACATCGACATATAAAAATGATAGAGATCATCATCCAAAGGCTTCTGTGCTGCCCTTTCAACTGCTATTTCTTCGGCCCTTTTTTGACGTTGCATAATTGACTGCTTTATTACTTCCTGTATATCATCATTTTTAGGTTTCTTATTTTTAGCTACTTTGGTTATAATTGATTGGTCTTTAGTTGCCTTACGTTTGGTATTTTCTTTTTCGTTATTTTTTTGTATAACAATATCAGACGTAAACGGCTCATTACAATGTCATTTTTAACACTCTTGATTTCTTCGGTATCATGTCTAATGTCACTGGTCACCTCGTCAAAAATTTCACTCTCTGGATCAACTATGGAGGCTTCCTGTTGTGGGTCTTCATCTTCACTATCTTCTTGTAAATTAGTTATTTAATTTAAATAATTGGGATCGTTGATATCGTAAAGAATTCTCTGGCTTCTCACCAATTCGATTAATTGTTCATTCATTTCGAATATAACCACACAAAATTTCACTAGAAACAAACTCCTCTGCACGTGGCACAGGAATCTGTGTCCGGACGACTGCGCTGGCAGGTTTTCCTAAACACAGTTCTGTGCTGCCCTGCTCTGCGTTCCAATTCGCGCGGGGTAATGTAATTGTGCGGAAAGCAGAAACCTGTGCTGTCCTACGCTGCGTTGCCTACGTCACCTGCGTCTGAATGTACGGCGCGCCTTAACTATAAAAAACTTATAGATTTAATTTACTTTAATTATTTATTTCTTAAAAAAAAAAAGAAATAAAAAATAGTCTTTATTCTTGGTGTAGATAAGTGACTTGATTTGATGTTGAAGTTTATTTATACAGCTGTTTAATTGTATTATTGTTTTTTGATTATTTAGCTGTATTCCTAACTTATGCCTCTTAATTTAGATAGGCAATAAATATACCTTCGAGAAAGTTGGGACGAGTCTTGGGGGCCTAACCAATGGATATTTTTAAATTATTAAATATTACATTTTTATATTAAATTTAAACAGAAAAAATTGACGAGCTTTTAATTGAAATAGGTCCAATTGTTTGAACGCTAATCAAAACTTGATTATAATCAAATATTAAATTAAAATCAAATAAGTCAGATGTTCGAATTATGTTGATTGATTTATTTGTATTATTTTGAGATATCATTTAAAATAAACCACAATTAAACTCGTTCTGATGTTAATTTCATGTTTTTAATTACAAATTAATAAAAATAATAAGGCTTTTTTAATAATTTTGACAGCTGCTGTGACGTATATGATTGTAATTAAATATTTGAGTACAATCAAGTTTTGATTAGCGTTCGAACAATCTGCCCTTAAGGTTCAAAAAATACTAAATATCAATAGGTAAGTGGTGTGGAACTTTATAAATGTAATAATTGGGTAGATTTTAACTTGGGTTGACTTATTTATGTTTAATCTTTAAACCTCAGAATATTATTCACTATAATAGTTAGTGATACCTATCATGTAGGATGAGTGATATTATCTACTAAGTCTTATCTCATGTCTTATCATAATCATGGTTGTTATAATAAATAAATAATAATAAAAATATTACTGTCATTATGAATTTTATTAATTTTACCAGAATTGTGACCTTTAATCTGCAACATCAGGTATATGTCTAATGTGCCAGCGGCGGCTCGTGGCCTAAAAAAGTGGTGAAGATGAGGAAAGTTTTCCAGAGGCAAAAGGAGTTTTGGTACTTACGTCGCGCTCAAATCTCATTAAAAATTCATTAAAAAAATGTATAGTTATATAAAAACTAAACTAATAAATACTAATTACTATTTAACTGGGAATAAGCGACAATTATTAATATATGTTCATTCCCAGTTAAATAGTAATTAATTTACAATGCCACAAGAAAATAGCTTCAGAACAATAACAAATACTATACTATATAAAAAATGTCTATATCGTCATATCCCGGCGAAAAGTCACTGACTGACATTTTGTGAAAAAACTCATTAACTTCGCCGATCACACGAAACTCATCATATTATATAATTTAAAGATATTACTTTCTATTATAAAAGTCAGTACTTGGCTATTTTTGTGTGGTAAAAAATCACTAACCCGTTAATACAGAAAATATTAAGCAGCCACAAATACTTAAGTGACTTTTTACATATGAACAAATTCTAGAGATAGGCGTTAAAACTCATTAATGGCACTTAGTGACTTTTTCCAGAATAATAAATCACTGCTTTGTTTGATTTGACACTTCTATTTCTCAGTTATTGATATGCAGTTAGTGAGTGAACACTTATTATTATGCTAAAAAATATTCCTTGGTGACTTTTCTTGTTAGATATTGTTATACCATTTGATTGTTGAAGTTTAATAGTTAAAAATATGAGTTCCCGATCTTTAAAACTGGTAGAACTTGCCTTGAATGATGTAAGTACAATATTATTAATAACCTCAGTTTTGACGTAACACTTGGAACTAGCCATAACGGAAAAAGATATTTATTATGTGTATCAATTTTAGGAATCAAAAAGCGACTATGAATCTCCTTGTACTAGCAAAATGGTGCAATCTGATATAGTTTTAGATGACAATACATCCATGATTTTAAATGAAACGGATGTACGCAACTTGGTAAGTTTGTTGATATTAATTTATGTGTATGTTATTACCAACTCTACGAATTTTAAGGATTTGAGTATTTCATTTGGGGATTTTAGTAAATGACTGATTTGGAGTGTAATTTTCAGCGTCACGACGGATTTGCGTAAAAATTTGGATTATTTTTTTTTTTTATTAATTTATTTAATGTCGTCCGAACCACTGGAGTTATAGACGACAACAATGGAAAATACATATTGTAACAAAGAAAGGTTAATATTAATTACGTACTAACATTAAAGAACATTAAAGAGGATTGATATATGTAATATAAGTACAGTCTAGATATTAATTTAAATATCTTTTATGCCTATAACCGTTAAAAACTTTATAATATTGTGTAGATGATTATTGTCTCTAAGAAGGTCGCCTATGTCGTTGGGAAGGTTGAGTTTACTTCTGGTTTCCTGGAAAATTTGACATTCGGTTAGAATATGTTTAACTGTATTGTTGGTTTGACACTGGTTGCAGTATGGAGGATTGTCTCTTGTAATTCGGTAAAGATGTGTATGACGGGTGTGACCAATTCGAAGTCGAGAAAAGATGACTTGTTTTTTCCTCGGTAACACAAAGGCTTGTTTTTGTAAAACATTGTCTTTAATTTGCCTTAGTTTTTCGGAACACTGCGACCATTTGTTTGGCCACGCACAACTAACTATGTTTTTTAAGCACAATTTAAGATGACTTGGCACTATTTTATTTAATTGCACTTGACCATCACTTGTCGCTGCTTCGTGAGCTAGACGGTCCACAACCTCGTTACCATGTATTCCAATATGAGATGGAATCCAGATTAATACCACATGTTTGTTTTCCTTTGCAGCATTTTGAAGTTCTTTGTAAATGTCTTTATGAATAGGATTGCTGGAGTATATGTTTTTGATGTCACAAAGAGCATTCATTGAGTCAGTTATGATTGTATAATTTCTCTGGTCCGTTGTGTTAATGAACTTTAGAGCTTCAAGGATTGCGTATAGTTCTGCGTTCGAGATAGTCCAGTTGTTATGCAACTTAAATTTCTTCTTCTTCTTCTTCGTCTAGCCATTCACGTCCACATCTGAACATAAGCCTCTTCAAGTCTTCCTTTCCATTGGTTTTTATTGTACGCTACTTGTAGCCAATTTTTCCCGGCAGTCCTTTTCAGATCATCTGTCCATCTCATAG